CAAAGTCTAAATTCAGTAGGATTAAGCTCAAAGCCTATGAATTAACAATGCTTATAAAAGTAGGAAGTTGATGTTTCCTTTCTTTACTGAATTTATTTTAATGATGGTGGGGAGTTAATATTTTTTGTTATGAAAACTCTGTCAAGGAAAATCTCTATGCAGCTTTTTTTGAAACAGGTAATCTTATTGAGCACTCATCAGTTCAAGAAGCAACTAGGTTTAGTTTCTTGAATAAAGAAGTTGTTTGAGTTAGTTACCCATGAGTTTTTTCAGTCCTTCATATCTAGAATATCAAATGTTATGTATTGTGCTTTGCTTCCACAATCCAGCGAGGCCGTCAAGTAGTCGGAATATGGTACTGAGTGTAGATTCTGCTTCTTCATAAGAGCACTTACTGTGAAAAGAGATTTTTTTTTTTTTTTTTTTTTCCTGAACTGCAGCACATCTGTCTGCAAAACCCTTCGGTATTGAGCAGTAAAAGGGAAAATAGCAGCTTCCAGTGGGTATTCCTCAGTCACTTCAGGAACCCTGCTGTATGGTTCTCCTAAGTGGAATTCTGTACTGATCTGCAAAGGAAAAGATGGGTCTCAAATATTTTTATTCTCTGTATTGTTAAAGGTTTTGTCTTTTTCCAGGAAGAGCAAGATTTGCAGTTACAACCTGTGTTAAGGGGTGGAGGGAGATGTGTTACTGCTTCTGGTGGCTAATATTTGTTAAAAAGGGACAAGGCTGAACCTGTTTCCACTGTAGTGTGCAATAAGCTTGTTTTCGTCCAGTTGAACTTTACAGTACTTAGATTTTCATCCTGAAAAATGCTTCTCACGGTCTTTTCCAGACATATTGACATCCATGCAAACAGGAATGACAAGTACTTCTACTACCTTAACAATGTAAGACAGTTTATGTTAAGAAAAGGGAGATTAGACCTCCTGAGTTTAGTGTTCTGAATAGATTCCAGCTTGATCAACAGTTTTCTCCCATCTAGATTTTCATTAGGCTTAAGCACAGTGTGGGTTTCACATCACGTTTTTGTGCTGGGATTTACAGCAACAGCTCTTTGGCATCACAAGTCTTGGACCGAGGACTGTGGATCTACCTGCATCAGGGACTGAACCTCTTTTCCTACTTGTAACAATTGTTTTAAATGTATCACACATCTATCACTTGTGCTTTCACAGTTCTGAAGGTCATTCATCTCGAGGAGTTTGAGGTAGAGATAAATAGAGATAAATAAAAAAATTGCTGCTCAGCCACGAATGAGTCAGCTGCCATAATTACTTTTTTTATGTTGTTTAAAAATTTCTTTACAATAGGCTTCAAAGCAGTAATTTTTGTGTGCTTTGAGTACTGTATAGAAGTGGATAATAAAGGGCAACAATCATAGGTAATTTTGGAATTGTAGGAATCTGGTGAGGATTCAATAGGACAAGATGTTTTCTTATATTTTTGCACTGAGTATAAGAAACTGGTTTGCAATAAAAGCAAGTCATTAAAGGCAAAGAATAATCACATGGATGTATAAATGCTAAGAACTGACTGTTGCAGAGATGGTATAGCAAAGAATTATTTGGGTTGTATTTTGGTTTGGTTGTGCTTTTTCAGCCAGCAGCCTCAGGCGTAACTACAGTTACAGCAAGGAGGGTCAGTAGTCCTAAATTTAATAAAATCAATTAGGTCTTCAGCCTAAAATGGTGGGATGAATTTCTCTGATCCTTAGCAGTCTGAGAAGTCCCACATTACTGTATCTGCAGTGCACCTCCCTGTCTGCCATGTTCAGTGAGATAAATCAGCGTTGTAAGTCTTAATTGCATGTAAATCACAAGCTTCAGAAAATGAAGACTGACTGTTCTGTATTAGATATTTTGAGGTATCTCCTCATTGGTACTGCTGAGAGTGGCTGTGTCTAGTCTGGGTATAGAATGAAACAATGAGCACACTGTATATATTGTTGCTTATTTTAGCAAGCTAATGCTGCATGCACATGAGGTTAAAGAGAGTCACCCTTTAAGCTAAGTGAAAATTAACTGAAATTAAATAAAAACCCAACACAACATTTGCATGTGAATATATAAGTGAGCTTGAAAAAAGTTACCAGTTCAGGTGGCTTTTGTAGCAAACAGCAGCTACTTTAGGCAGCTCATCTGTTTGGAGAATGCTGATTTGGAGGTATCTGCATTTACTTTAGGCTTCTGTATTTTTTAAAAACATTGCTACTAGTCTTTTTAAAGAGCATTTGCTTAATGAAAGGAATAGAGATGACAGAATCCTAGAATGCTTTGTGTTGGAAGGGACCTTAAAGATTTGGTCCCAACCTCCCTGCCCTGGGCAGGGACACCTTCCACTAGCCCAGGTTGTTCCAAGCCTTGTCCAACCTGGTCTTGAACGCTTCTGGAGATGGGGCATCCACAGCTTCCCTGGGCAACCTGTGCCAGGGCCTCCCTACCCTCATTGTGATAAACTACCTTATGTCTAGTCTAAATTGACCCTTTTTGGATTTAAAACCATTACCCTTGTCCTGTTGCAACAGACCCTGCTAAAAACTGTGCCCATCTTTCTTGTAGCCCCTTTAATACTGGAAGGAGCTCAGAGGTCTCCCCAGAGCCTTATCCAGGCTGAACAACTGCAGGTCCCTCAGCCTTCCCTCACAGCAGAGGTGTTCATCTCTGATCATCTTCATGACCTCCTCTGGGCAAGCTCCTGAAGGTCCACGTCCTTTAACTGAGGGGTTTGTGGTTTAACCCCTGCTGGCAACTCAGTCCCCTCTTCCCCCTCAGCCCTCCCAGTGGGGGCGAGAATTGGAGAGGGGAGAAGGGTAAAAATTGTGGGTTGAGATAAGAATAGTTTAATAATTAAAATAAAATAAAATGCAACAATAATTTTAATGAAGAGTGGGAGAAATGAAATCCAAGAGAAGCAGGTGGTGCACAATGCCGATTGCTCACCCCACACTGAGCAATGCCCAGCCCCTCCCTGGGCAATTCTGGGCCACATCCTGCAGTTTATAGATGGAGCACGATGTTCTGTGGTGTGGAATATTCCTTTGACCAGAGTGGCCCAGCATTCCTGACCGTGTTTCCTCCTGGTTACTGGTGCTCCTGCTCGCTGACAGAGCATGAGAACTGAAAAGTCCTTGACTGAGAGCAAGCACTACTTAACAACTAAACATCCGTGTGTTTTCAGCGTTATTCTCATCCTAAATCCAAAACACAGCACTGTGCCAGCTACTGAGAAGAAATTGAATTTTCCCAGGTGAAATCAGGACAGATCTCCAGAGCTGGTTGCTGAGTGCCTGGTGGGGTCTGAGGAAAATGGAGGGGCAGAATCACCTCCCTCAGCCATGTTTCCTTTGACACAGCCCAGGATATGTTTGGTTTTCTGGGTCCAAGAAATACATGTTTCAGATTTGTGCTTCAAGTGTGCAAATATTTGGTGAAGGATTGGGATGATCCTGTTATCTAATTAATTCACCTTTCATGGATCAGTGAGAAGTTCTAAATAAGCATTCTGACCAAACATTTTCTGGTTCGAGAGGAATGTGTCTTAGTCTCCTGATGCATCTGTTACCTGGTCTGCACAATTAGGTGGTGTTTCTGTGTTGCACACTGGAGTGTGATTGTTAAAAGTATGGACTTGTTTTTAACTTGGTGAATTAGAAGACTGAGAGGCTTTCTAACAGTCTCTGGAGGGGCTGATTTTTCCCAAAACACATTCAGCTGTTTTGTGGCCCCTCTGTTGATCCATCCTGTTCCATCCATCTGAGCTGCTGGTGGTAACTGTGGGGAGCCCATTGTGATGTGCTTGGACTCCATGGTTGTCGTGCTCCTGTGTAGCCACTCTGCAGGTGCTGTACTGAGGAGAGCTGCAGCTCCAGCAGGAGTGGAGAAAACAGCAAAAGAAGTAAGTAATGACAAGAACAAGAATTTTCTCCTTGTCTCCCTTGTTTTCCTTCTCCCTAAGAGTGTTTTCCCACTTTGTCCTGAATGGTATTAGATTTTAATAGGTATCTTGGAAAACATGATTCCTGTCCTCTTAAGAAATAATTTTGTGTTTAACTACCAAAGTTTCTCTGTGGGACAGAATTCCTCTCTCTATATATGTATTTTCCTCTATAGCACAGGTATATCTGAAGGCAGGGAAGCTCCTCATGGAGCAGCAGGAGTGCAGAGAGAACTGGCCCTTCAAAGGACAGTGTCTGTGTGGAATAACAACCAGTCTTTTCTCTGTAAAGCACTTCAAAAAATGGGATTCTCTCCTTATCAATACTAGCAAAATAGTCTCTGGTTTTAACATGTCTTAACAACTAAGTGGTAATAATTGAAAAAAGACCTTTCGAGGTTAAAAGAGGAGCAGCAGGCAAAGTGAAATACAGCATCTGGCAAAGTAGCCATCAGGGGTTGTTTGGGGGTACAAAACACAGCTTAAACCTGCTGTGAAATTACTGTGAATGACTTGGGGATTTCTTAAACTGTTTTTGTCCATAATATCATTTGGTCCGTAATATCATTTGAACCTTTTAAAAATGTTATCCAAAGCATTTCATATGTTCCAATTTTGAAAAGACTGAAGAATTCAACAAGCTAAACTAGAATTCAGTTTTAAGCTTCCAGCAATTTTTTATTTTTCAGTCCTGAATCTGCTCATTGAAACTGAATTAAAATTTTTAGCTAAAAATGATCTTTTTAAGTGCCAGGTGTCCAGCTCTGGGACACTTCAGAGATATAATTTTTGGGCTAGTCTTTGTTAACAAGGTGCCTTCCTTTAAACTCTCTTTAACTGAGTAACTTCTTCAAAATCATTTCTTGATAAAATATATATGTATTCACTGGTTTGGCCTCCTTTCTTTAAAAAAAAAAAAAACAAAAAACCAAAAAAACAGTTCTTCTCTGTGCAGCAATCATCTGTCAGGTTTGTTCTAATCCATAAATCCATAAAAAAAGTCAAGATCTAATTTTTTTATGCATGACCCTGTTGCTGTTCTTGCTGTTGGTTTTATTGCAGTGATGCCGCCCATTGGCACCCATCGAGCGTGGGTCATCGTGGTCCTGATCCTGCTTTGTAGCATCCATTCACGTGAGTATTGCAAGGAGAAAAAGCATTTTCCAAGAAGCAGTGATTGCTTTTACTAGCAAGAAGTTTACAGTTGTGTTGTCTTGGGAATGGTTGAAAAGTACTGAGAAATACTGCAAGCAATTACTCCAGAGGTGATTGATCAGTCCTGAGACTTAAATAAAGCAAAATATTTTTTTCCTGTAACTTTCCCCTTTTCCTCTGTGCATCTGTACAAGAAATGCTGCTTGTTTCATCCCTGGCAGTGTGATTTGCTTTTATTTTAACTTTAATTATAGATTCTTCTATTTTTTCCTCACTTCAAGTTTTTTTGTCCAGCATACTGTTAAAGGTGTTCTTATAGTCTGTTGAGAATGGATGTATTTGCTTACTGCAAATCATGAAATCTCATGAAATTCCTGTGAAATTATTACAAAATCTTTAAAATTTTCTGTTCTTCTACTGTTCCCTGGCAGGGAGAGGGGCCCCATGACATGACTGTTGGTGTGAGCCTTGGTGGCCACGTTTCTCTTATACATTAGTTTCAGGTTCTCTGTTTTGACAATACCTTCAATTCTCCCTTCTCTGATGTTTCTTCTTCCCAAGGAAGTTTTGTATGGCAAAGAAGGGGCAAGTTGTGCCCCAGGACAAGGAGGGAGTTTATACTCCTGTTGCTGTTAGCTCAATAATTATCCAAAAGGTTGTTGTTCAACACCTGAGTTTTTGGTTAGGCTGTAATCTCACTTCTGTTCACAAGAAACTCTAAAACCATGAAATGGCTTTCAGCAAACTCCATCACAGAAAACTATTAAAGTTGTGATGGTGTAAGTTTCTCTCATGTAGAGAAAAAAAAAAGGCAGGCAGGGGGAATACTGGGTTTCTTTTTTCCTCCCTCATTGGGGAGTGGTTGATTGCCAGTGGAGTCCCACTGTGATTTGCACTTTTGCTTTAATGAAAAAGAGATGTAGGGAGGCAGCAAGCTTTACTGATGCCACATGGTTTGGAGTAGTGTAAATGAAAGGTGATTGAGAAGTCCCTGAGCAAGAAATCCCTAGGGTTTGGGAAAATACTGCAGTCCCTCTATATTCCAGTTGTTTTGCTCTTTCCTACACAGCTGCAGTAGGTTGCTTCCTGAAGCAAAATGTTGGGAGAGATGCATGTTTGTTTGTATCTGATAAAGGTGCCTTTCACCACGTTTCTGTGTTTTAGCTGGGGTCTGATCTTTATCTAAAAGGCTGAATGTTCTGCTCGAGTACATAAGAGAAATATAACTCTTAGATATAGAAAGTGTTTTCATGTGACCTGCACCTTACAGCTGAACAGCAGGGCTTTTTATCCTTGCCAGTTTCCACCTGAGTGGATTCTTTAATTTAAATTTTACAGCTTTAGTTCTTTACTCATTGTGGTTCATGAAGCAATTTGAAGTAATATAAGTGAATGCAACAGAAAGACATCTGTGCTTAACCTTGCTGGCCCTCAGTAAGCACGGTTAATAATGACTGTAAATGCCTTCATAATGTGTGATAATCAGCATGAAAATGTCATTGCATTTAATTAATTATGGATATTTTTATAGTAATGAGCTAATCATTATAAACTTTCAGTTCTTGCAGCACCAGTGCAGCAAGATTTAGGACAAAGTGAAGCAGCACCCAAGAAACTCAACATGACAGTGAAAGGTGTATTTGAATCTCTCTTAAACTTCTTCAGGCCAATGAGTAAGTGTCACTTCAGCACGGCAGCATTGTTCCTCTCTTCCCTTTCCACTTCTGCCTCACTTCCAGTCCACCCTCCCACCCCTACCTGTCAGCATTTAATGTATTTTAAACCCTCAGTCTAAAATTCATTAGATCTCTTAAAAATGTTATTGCTAAATGTGCCTTTGGCACAGTCACAAATTTGCTTCCCTCCTGCAAAACCCTCCCATCCTCAGTGATGTGATCATGCTGGAAATGCTGGAATTTTTCTGGAAAGTTTTGCATAGGATCCTCCATTTAATAAACTGAATTTTGGCTACCAGTAATGTCTGTGATAAATGTGAGACTGACAATGCAACCAGTCTTGGTAGTGTTGTTGGAAAGAAATGATGCTTTGCAGCTGCTCTGTCACATAAGGGATGTGATACAATGTTTTACAGGAATTAAGTATACAGAGACATGTACTACTTATGACTATGTTATACATTTAAGCTGTTCCCACAACAGATCTCATGATTATCAATAAATCTGTTATAAAATAGAAAATTTTTAAAATTGTTTAAATATTTTGTTCAATAACAAAGTAATGGGTTTTTTTTCCCTATCAGCTGATTTTCAGCTGCTTGTAGAAACATAAAATTAGTGCCAAACAGAAACGGTTAGTTGCAACATAGTCCTTCCAAAAAAATTACCTTAAATTTCTGTTTTCTTTTTTTTGATTAGAAACAATCCAGTCAGAAAATTTAATTTGTCTTTTTTCACTTACTTTACAAACCTAAGTACAAAGAAGTGGCAGGATGGTGTTTAACTTCAGCTTTGTAATTGTTTTTTACAGAAACAAAGCAAATTACTAAAGATTTTCTATGCCTTTCTGTTCATTTTAATGTAAAGATTGATTAGGTTTTGGGAAAGAACATACATGACAGTCAGTGATACTGTTTTCTGGCAGAGTTAACCAGTCAAAACATACCAGAGACACCGAAGTGATGACTTCCCTCTACTTGAGCATTTCTACCGGAGTAGAGATCTTACCTGATTTTTATTTTTTTGTCTTTATCAAGCGTGCCGGCTCAGCAACGAGCGACCCTTAATTCCTTGTCAAGTAGAAAGCCTGAATGCGTCTGAATGCTTGAAAAATCACTGTTGTCCCATGAAAATTGGCCAGGACCTGCAGTGTCACATGCCGGTTAAGGACGGTGAGTTTGCTGCCGTGGGTTTCAGCCTCCTGCCCAAGTGCTGCTTCTGCTCAGGCAGCACAATTTTCATTGCTCTTTGTAACTTCAGTTCTTCAGGACACCACTCTCTTTAAAGGGAATGTAAGGTTGCATTTATTTCTTCATATATATTAATAAAGAAAACAATCCATTGGTAGAGAGTTGCCTGGATGTCTCATCCAGCCCAGCACGAGCAAAGAACAAGTGACATACAAAGAAATGTAGTCACATATGTCCATATAAAAAGTGAAGTAAAGGCTTTATTTGTGGAAAGGAGGTTTAATCCAAAGTAGAAGTGACTCCATGAAAGTTCTGTAAAGAAAAGGTGAAGGGACTGGATGTATTTTACACGGTTTGTTAGTTAGGGGCATACAAGAGATATTAAATGTTTCAATAATATTCATTCCCAGCTTGGGCCTTTATATTATGTATAAAAGACACTTCAGTATAGCAAGAGGAAGAGCTGTACAGAGAAAATTATAGCTCTTCTGCTCATTTTTAAGACACATACTCGAGCAAATGTTAAAATTAAACATGCTTATTCAGCTGTGACTGCTTGATTCCTCATTGCTGTTAAGCTTTTATTGTTTGGACATCAATATCAAAGGCTGATTATTTTACTGAATTATTAGTTCATAGATTAATCAGCTCCTTGAATGCTCCTGCATATTCAGCATATGTCCAAAGAAAATGCAGACACTTACTATTTGCCTTGTAGCAATCTGTTGACAAAATAGAAGCACTTAGCAGATATTCAACTCATGGCAGTTGTGTTTGTAAGATGGTCACAGACTGCAAATTGAATCATTCTTCTTTGGAAGTTTTGTCTTCAGTTTCATTAGGAATAAAATGAGGGTCTAAGAAAACGCTGCAAAAGTTATGAACTGAAGTAGATAAATAGCATTTGTTTGAAAGATTTTGTCTCTATTCTTAAAGCAGCTTCTGAGGGACTTTGATTTATTTTTTTTTAATTATTATTTATTCCTCCCACTCAACCCTGCCCCATGCCCTGGGCTCACTCAAAACCCAGTTGCCTCTGAAACTAAACAAACACTTGTGCTATTTGAACTCAGGTGAAAATTGAGACCAGTTCTTTCTCATCTGAGCTCATTTCTAACACTTAGTCTTTTGCCTAAGATACATACTTAGAATCATAGAATCATTTAGCTTGGAAAAGACCTTTGTGATCATTGAGTCCAACTCTAAATTCAGCTAAAATATGGCAATTTTCCTTGGTATTTACTGAAGTCTTAAGGTATAAGTGTTGTCAAGGGTTTTCCTGATGAAACCTCTGTCTAAGCAAAGTGGCAGCTTGGCTGTGACTTGGTGGCAGTAAAGATGTTTGTCTTAGGGGCTGATCTCTGTCATCTGTACCTCAGTGAATATTTCAGAACTAATGCAGACTTCTGCTGACTCCACAGATGTACAACTGGCAATTCGACTGATTTTGGTCACTGGAGGAGGATTTTTGATTTTGGGGTTTCTGCCAATCTGTTTCTGTGCCATTTTGCAGAGAAGGTAAGTGGTAGAGCATGACCAGAGCAAATTTAAGAAGTACTGCTTCTGAGTGGTGAAAATATGGAAAACTGACATCTTCTAAGTAGGTGAGGGGAGAAAAGTGTGGGCAAAAAGGGCAAGGAACTAATGTGCAAACACAAAAGATGAGACCTTCTATTTTGAAGCTATATAAAACACAGAGTCAGTTTGGCTTAAGGAAAAAAAGGTGATTTAATGCCCTAGTAATATTTCTAAAGACCTGGTTATAAAGAACTTGGGCTTAATCTTAACTTCACTTGCTTGGGAAGTTGCACATAAAACATGAAGGATGTTACACAGTAAGACACTGAAGGGAAGAACAAAGTAGAAGGCCTGAAGAGAATAAGAAAGGTGTGCTGAGAGTGTGCTTGGGAATTAATTATCTCTAAATATGCTTCTAACGTGCAACATGGGGGTTTTTAATGTATAGGGCACATTGCAGCCTGTGAGTTCTGTGCATGCAGTTTAGTGTTTAATACTATGAAGAGTTTCAGCATGTTGTTAATATAATGGGAAAATGTAAGTTCCACGACATCAAAATCATTAAAATGGGAGGGAAGGAATTATCATAATTGTGCATTATTTTCCAAGATAGTAATTCATATTGAATGGCTATTCCTACAACTTGGTAAATATGACGGAATTGTCTTTTTAGTGAAGATTTTTTCCCCCAACTCTTACTCTACTAAGATATAGTAGCCTGTGTGGGATCATATAGGTCCATGTATACACACATATAGACTTTACTAATGTGGCTGCTTAGCAGATGGCTATTGCTGTGGAGTCCTACATTTTGACAAAACCTGCTGTGAAAACCTCCACATTACATCTTACACTGTGCTCAACAGCTGATGCTCAGCATACACAGAGCTGCACTGAGTCATCCGTGACTCTGAAAACAGGAGGCAAAGAATCAACATGAAATTACCATAAATTATCTGGAAAATGAATTAATATGTGTTCATTTTGAGGGAATTCACATTAATGTTTAAATGATTGTTTCTGTGTTTTTTGATAGCCAGTGAAATTAGGAATATTGCTATTCTGCTATGACTTGTTTTTTTGCTTTGTTTTTTAATGCAGTAATTAAACAGATGCTAAATGGTTTAAATTTCCAACGTCATATATTTGAGTTCTAGGAAAGAAGCAATCCTATCAAACTTTGAGCTTTACAGATTTTAGAGACAGCTGATAGAGAATACTGCTTTGGAAAGCATTCCTTTAATGAGCCAAAAACCTTCTCTCTGGATAGAAATTCTTTTTTTTTTGAGCATTGTACAGTCATTGCTGAGAGGGCCCTGTGTACAATGCCAAATCTGTACTGCAAAGGATGTGCACAAAAGTAAAAATGGTTCTCTAGAGTTAACAAAAAAAATGAGAGGGCTTTTGCTGTTGAAATTTGGGATAATTGTTGAACTCCACTATGCCTCTTCTAGAGCAAATTCCAAGGTTTCCCATAGGAGTCTGTATTGACAAGAGAAAAAAAAAGAGAGAGAGAGCAAACCTGGGCATCCAGGAAAGCCCTGGAAAGGTTTGGCAGGTCCTTGTGCTGTTTGACAAGAGGTGCCCAGGTGGGGGTCAGTCTCTTCTCCAAAGTAGCAAACAACAAGACAAGAGGAAATGGCCTCAGGCTGTGCCAGGGGAGGTCTAGATGGGACATCAGAAAAAATGCCTTCACTGAAAGGATTGTTAATCATTGGAATAGGAAGGGAAGTAGTTGAGTCCAGCCCTGGAGGCATTTAAAAGCCATGTAGATGTAACACTTGGGGACATGGTTTAGTGGGGGACTGGACAGTGCTGAGTTAATGGTTGGACTTGATCATCCTTAAGGTATTTTCCAACTTAAATGACTCTATGATTCTGTATGAATCAGAAGGTGAGGTGAAATTCATGAAGAAAGTGTAAGAGAAGGGAAAAGCATATTGAAATGCTTTCCCTTACTTTAATCTGTGTTCTAGAGATGAACCTTGTGGTGGGTTCTGAAATCAGCTGCAGCTTTGTGAGGTTTCTCACTGGAGCTAGGATTTCATGGCTGAAGCCTATGTGACCTTCTCTAATTCCTACTTTGGAAGTCAACCAATTTCAGCTGTTGTTTTATTGTGTTGCAGTCCGTGTATCAATCCTTTACAAAGGATGAGCAAAAAAGTACGGCAGATTGCACGAGACAGAAGAGAACGTCGTGAACAGACTAATGATGAAGAGGTTCATCTACTGGATTGACCTAAGAAAGGACCATAAGGACAAAAAAAAAAAGAAGGTAAATGAAGGGTAACAAACCCATTACACTAACACTGAATTATTCTTTTGTTCATTTGTATAGTTTTATTAATTATGTGTAGAGTACTAAAGATATGCACTACTAAATACCTGCTGCCTCCCAGTCCAGTAGGCATTGTTTATCAGGGATCACCTTCAGTTTGTGCTGTGGGAGAAGTAATGGGTTTGCAACAGTTTGGTTGCTGTGCTGGGGTGTTGACAGCAGAGCCATGGGCAGTGTTACAGTCCTGGATTAAAGCCCTCCACCGTTCCAGTGCTCCTTATCCCATGTGCAAGCTGTGTGGCATGGAAAAGTGGAAAAGCAATGGGTTTGCTGCTTTCAGGAGATGCAGATCCATTTACAGACACTGAAAAACCCGTCCCTCTGTATGGATAGGGGTGTTTTTCAGCTATTGCATCCACACTGCTCCATATCCTGGCATTCCTCCTCAATGCTGAAGAGCAGTTGAGTACTGAAACAAATGTGATCTGAGGGAGAAATGCCATTTACTTTGCATGAACATGTCAAACTTATAGCTTACTGAAGGTGTCACAATTAAATAAAACAGTGTCAATGAGGTCATTAGACAATAAGGAAATATTTCAGGGAGTGTACTGATTTGGCAGAAACGTAAAGATGTCCCTAAATCTAGTCATACTCATGTTTGGGGTTTTTTCTCTTTAGTGAATAGCAACATGCACCTCATCTTGAAGACCAAGCTGAAGACACCAGGATTATTTGACTACCTCCTAGAAAATGACCCGTTTGGTTTTAGTATTGAAGGAATACAGTGTTGTTAACCCTTGATAATACTATTGATTTTGCAATAAAAGTTCTTAATTCATAGTTCCTTGTGCTCATTCCATACCTCCTGTACAAAAAAAAAAAGGTGAAAGGCAAACTGCTCATGGCAACCCCTGCATAATAAAGTCAGTGTTCTTTTAGTGCTGTAGCATCCTTGTGGAGGGAATAAAGATACCAGTTATGTGCCCATCTCAGTTTAGGGGTCAGTCTTATAATAAGATTGAGAGAGTGTTATCCCTCATTAAAGTGGCAGTGAGGGAAGCTCACTCTCAGTGTTGGACGGCCCCACAGCACAGCAGTGCTGCTCTGACTGAGGAGAAGGACTAATTCCTTGCCAGGGTACAGAAGATTTTGGAAATCTCTTGTTGGGCAATTGCTTTAAAGATCTGCTTGGCAAAAATACAGAGTACTCAAAGAAACTGTGGGAGTGTTGTCTCTGGCATTGTTTTTCTCCATGGTGTATGGCTGCACCACAGAACTTTTTTTGGCCTTCAGATGGCCTTGTCTCCCAAGGTAGGTGATTCCAAGGTGCAGTTTCTTTCTGTTTCTCTCTAGTGCAACAAAAATAAAAGAAACAAACTTGTAACAGTTTTCAACAGCTGAGTGCAAAGTAGGAATAAGCACCAAAAGAAGGTCAGTAGAAATCAGTGTCACCCGTAATAATGCAAAAACTTGTCATTTTTCTTTGGGGTTATGAGGTCCATGTAGCAGAATTTCCAAAAGCTACAACTGGCAGGAAGGGAGCTTTGCTCCTAAACTGGAGATTAAATATTGTGACGATCCTTAGAGACTCTGTACTTTCAGAATTCCCCACTTAATAATTTTTTTCTTTCATCAATCCTAAAAAAAAAAGCATCACTTAAAATCCAAGTGTAATGGGGGTGGAATATTCATATGGGCAATCTCATGAAGTTGTTGAAGTGCTTACTGATGGTCAGACATAATTATATGCAGGAGCTTTAAAGCCTGACATTGCAACCATTGCCAGAAGCACTTTATTAGAGACGGTTTCTGTATAATTTTGTAAGCAAAAAGTATTACAGTATTTTTGCTGTGGAGCAGCAGAATGATGGAGACTGAACAGGGGGCTCTGTTTGCCTTCCAAATCTGTTGTGTGTTTACTCTTTCTTCGTATTATTTTTATGAATGGTGAAATATGTCTACAGACACTTTGACAAAGATAAAACCAGTTTCCTGCTCCGTGAATTTAGAGGCACTGTCACAGCTGAACTGTGCATGTGACAAACCACAGAGATCCTCCTGGCTGGTGACTGGGGAGAGCAAGAAGGGTAGGCTTTCACATGGTGCTTCATGATTTTGATTTGAAGGGCAATGAATTCCTTCTGTTTCCATGTCATTGACAGCACAACTGCTCTCAGTGTCACATAATGTCCTGACAAAGGGACACACACCGATAAAACAACTGTGTTTAACAGTGAGCAATCAGTGTGCCTGCAGTAACTGTGTCTGGCAGCACCAGAACAAGATGAGCATAAGCAAAATGCATGTGCTGTAAGGGCAGGAGGTGAGATGAGAAAGTCACAGCCAGGGTTACGTTCCTCTTAGTGGGACAGCAGTCAGGAGCACAGCGCGTGGACTTGAGCCCTGTCCTTTTCCATGCAGCAACTTTGTTGTAAAAATGTTCTAAAAAGCTGGAAGTTTTGCTTTTCAGTTGAAGAAGACAAAAGCTCCAATTTTACATTTTAATTTCTTTATTAGCTTGACAATTCATTGAATCAGTAGCTGTCAAGCCATGGATATTGCATAAATAACTGTTGTCTGTACCGAAAATGTCATAATAGCTATTTCACTATTATTGAGGGTCAGTATTGCCACCTTAGGGTGAAATCACAGATATTCATTCACAGGCCTGCATGTGATGTGAACAGTACTGGCACTGTCACATAAAGGTGGATGTTTTAGTCAGCTGATCTGCTGCTTACTGCCACTAGTGAATATTCAGATCTCCTGAATAATGACTGGTTGGTTGGTTTTGTGCTCCTGGACTTTAGGATTCTACAGAACAGTTTCAGGGTGGGGTTACCAACCACGTCTAACAGGAGCATATCTTCTCCCAGTGCCTCACACACACAAAGCTGCATGTTGCTGAGCCAAACTCAGTCTTCCTTTGTCCTTTCTATCCCTTCCAAGATCTGTGTTAGAGGCCAGGTCAGCTGCAAGAAGGCACAGGCGTTTTTACCGGGCTCCTCATGGTGCCTCTGTGGCTTGCAAAGAAGCTGCTGATGGCTGGGTGTGGTCCCCAAATCTGCAAAAAGGACCTTCCACCTTCCCGGCCTAGGGAGAGGGAGGGACAACTTCAGTACTAAAATCAGGGACCACAAGATGGTGCTGCAGGAAAACATTTTTCCCTCAGTGGTTTTTGGCTTCTGGAGAACTTTATTGATTTCTGCCTTTTACAATGCGGTTCATCAAGTCACAAAAAGGCAGATGGTGTACAATAGAGCAATGGTCACTCAGTAAAAAAGACAACATAATACAGCATATGATGACAAGGCTTTAGAAGACTTACCAGATATACAAACCATTGCTTGTGGCTTTAGCTCTGCTCTCTCTCCTATTGAACTGATACAGAGTGAAACAAAAGAGCTCTCAGCGGAACATCCCTCTTTATCTTCCCAAAGATTAAATAAATACAAGGCTAAACACCTTGTGCCAATGCACAATAGCTGTGTCCAGGAGTGGATGCTGCTGCCCTAGAGATGGGAGCTATGACAGGGCTTCAACAGCCCTTCATCACATCACCCAGAGCCTGCATCATGTCTGATGGCAAAGGGTTTGGCTCACTTTCTGTTCCCTCTGACACCAAACCCACACCTTTATCCACATTCTGTGAGATGAAGAGAAAGGGTTGCAATGATTTTTTTTTTTTAGAAAGCTTTAAGGCAATATGAAATGATTGCATGATACTGTGGGCAATCGTGGCAATATCTGGTACTTCTGCGCATTTGACCTTTAGAAAGCTTTCAAAAGCACGAGAACTTAAAAAAATAAATACAATGGAATGAAACCCAAGTTTCACACTACAGAGTTAGAGTGAGAGAATAGATAAAATCCAAAGCCAAACACAAATTTGTATTAAAGGAAAATCTCAGTGACTGGGGAACTTGTCTTATATTTTTGAAGGCTTGTGGTTCAGTTCTGAGGCCTATTTTACCCAGCTGAAATTCATGCAATGCCAGATAGTGCAGATATAGGAGGAGAATGTACTTCATTGCTCTACAAACATGTTCTGAGCTTGTCTCCATGTAAGGGATGTAATTTTAAAATGTTGTGGTTCCTCTGATCCTTGCTGACCTAGGGTTGGATGCACAGCTAAAATGAAGTGTAAAGGTCTCGCTGGAAAAGTGTTCTATGTTCTCCTGCAAGGTCCCAGTGGAGCAACTGGTTCTGTCCCACTCAACTTTGCTTCTGATGTTTGTGCTCCAAACCTTTCTTGTTCTTAAAAAACACTGGAAAAAAAAATAATAAAAAAATGGTTTTCTGCCAGATGAAAGGGAAAAACTGTCCACAGCTGTACTGTTCTGGCCTTCTAAGTTTCACTGTAGTGCTTCCAAGTGCCTTCACAAAAGGCACGTTTCTTCCTGCACTGCTTCCTCTCAGAGTCCATTATCCTATGTGTATCTCCCATCCAGACAGATAAATCTTTGAGCACATTGTGTTCTGTTCTGTGTGCAGGTAAGTGGGACAGAGCCTCACCCTGCAGCAGCTGTTTCTCTGCAGTATCCACCACCATCCCTGGCTCTGCAGGTGTGGTTGTGTCAGCTGCCACTCAGGCAACGTGGGAGGGATGGTGGCAATTCTACACAGAGCTGCCCTGGACAAGGGATGCTGCAGTCCTGCTGCATCAGTCTCCCTGGTTTCCAGTATGGGATTTTTCAATCTGTAAGACTGCAGCTGTTCAATATTCCACCTGTGGTCATCAGCTGAGCTGAAGTGAAATGATGACAACAACTTGCCTTTAGAAAAGGAAATTTCTGATGCATGTGCTTGGCCTGCCTCTTGCCCAGGCTCCTGTTCAGGTTTTTACTGACTCTCCAAGCTTTAAATATTTCCCTATTGAAGATACTTGATCCAGCACTTGATCTAAATGTGGGATGGAGAAACTATGCCAATAAAAAGGACAGAAAACATCCTTTGCTTAGGACTTACAGCACAACTAGGAGATCCAGGGAGATAATACACAGCTATAAAATACTCTTGCATACATTTCCTAATGGGAAAGCCCTGCTTCAGTTAAATGCACCAGGTAAGCAGCTGTAGCAGCATTGCCAAAATGCAATTTCTTCAATTAAACATGGCCTTCTGAATTGCTGTAGCTCATTTTGGTTTGCTGTGTGATGAGTCTTTTCCCGTCATCTTCAGGGAAGGACAGGGAAAAGTTAATTCCCCATTCCTAACATTGTGTGCATTGATAGCTGATATTTCAAGATACCAAATCAGATATCAAACTGATAACTTTAAAGAATGACAGGGCTCAGTTTGAAGGAAGTTCTTATGGTCTCTGTGAACAACTCCCAGAAGCAAAGAAATCTGAGAGCCTGGGGGAAAAGAGTTATTGGGGTGGTGTTGTTTTATGTTGCAGTAGGGAATCCATACTAAGCTTTGAGTAGTGGCTAAGCAGGGCAAATTACTGTTATGGTGGTTGCCATTCATAACAGTCTTAGAATGCCATAAAATGACTATGGTTAAACTGTGAAACATCTGGGGTTGGGGCACATCAGCTAAAGACAAGGCTGTGCAAACTGGAAGGGAAGACAAGCAAGTTCATGGGGAAAATGACCTTGTGAAAAATGACAAAGAAACTTTTACCAGAATGCAACAGAATGTTGTTTCTTTTTTGCTTTTGCAATTTGTTTTTGTTATATGTGAACACACTAAAAATCTGTCACAGCAACTGCTAAAAGCACTTATAGTTTTATCTGTAAGGTTG